GAGGCGGTTGATTTCCCCGCGCTTCTTCCTTCTTATGCTTTACTATCTTATGTCTTTTTAATTAAGCCTTAGTCTTGCATTTCTTTTGCACAACTCGCAAACAATTCCCTCTTCGTATTGAACCTAAAAAATCGAAAGATTTTCAGTAAAATAATATGTTGTTGTACTACGATCGATGCCGTTGCTAAGGGCATCAATAACTACAAAGTTTTTGGGCGAAAATAACGTTTTAAAGGCTTCTAAAAGACTTACAGAGTCAGCTGCTTCGACAAAGGGCTCATGTATTCTTCCTCGTTTTCCAAAGTTTCCAATGTGGCATCAAAATCGTCGCCGAAGAAAAAAAGTCATTCATGTCCTTCATATTGTTTTGGTTCTGTGCAGGGTCATTGGTCACGTGACGTTCGAGCGAAGCTCAGGGGGCACACAATAGGCCGGCCCTTTGAAGTTTGCCGCGTTTCCTAACCAGTCCCATCTACTAACTATGATCTAATCGACTATTTATAAATTTGTAAGCCCACATAGTATAGCAAATGAAGGTGACAGTATTTTTTATGTAATTACATATGTGAAAAGGGTATAATCAGTTGCAATTGACTTAGAAGGGTGCAGTTATCCTGTAACAAGACTGCAATTTGAATCACAAGTGCAGATTACAAAACAGATATTTTTTAATGATGTGAAGTCAATCTTCACACATTTCTCAGTTCATAATGGAATTGAATTTAAATTGTAGTTTTGTGAAATTTCATGATGACAAATAAAGTAATGATGTACAGTTGAACTTGGCGCTCTTGAACCCCCAGGGGAAATATAAAAATGGTTGGGGGGTGTTGAGTCAGCTGATTGTAAGTGACTAAAAGATTGGGGTCAAATGAAATCAGATCTTGTCAGTGAGCACTGTATTAAGTTAAAAAACAATCTTAGGATATGTCTGGAAGAGAAAATAATACAAAAGTTAAAGCTCTTCAACACAAAAATGACATTTTGATCAATAAACTGGAAACTTTGCAAAACAAAATCATCTGTTCACAAAAATCATTAAGACTGTGCAACCCAGGCTAGTCAGCAGAAAAGACACATGTTTAAAGTGCAAGGTGTCAAAGTTTCATTTGTTTTGATTTTGTTTTCTTTTTTATTTACTGTAAACACCAGAAGATAAATCTCCTTAGCAGATAGGCTGCACTCTGAGTTTGGCCTCTTATTAAAAAAAAAAGTTTTTGACAGGAAATCAAAAGAAGTAAAAATGGAGTCCTACAAAAGTTTCTCTATATTGGTTGCTTTATTGCACAATAAGCTGCACCCTGATTGGTAGCAAAACATTTTGGGAATAAGTTGTGGCTCATCCACTTTTGTTTACAGTATATCATTCTGTACAGGTATTACACATATCTTATTAACCAAATGCGAGGGCCGTACTGGGAGAATATCGGCCCGAGGTCTTGACAGTATGGACCAAACGCAGTGAGGTCTGTAAAAAAAAGACCGAGGGCTGATATTCTTCCAGTACGGTCCCGAGCAAGCTTGGTTAATAAGAGATTTATTATACGACTGAAGTTCAAAGTGACACAAGTGTGGTATCATTCGGGACCATTCGGGACCATTCGGGACAGTGCCCGGTCCAATACTGAGAGAATATTGACCGGCAATATAGCATTTTGATTGGTTGATTTTAGTTATTGGCCCTCTGACTGCCTGAGTCATTTAATAAATGAACTTGTGTGATCTCTAGTTCAGTTTGGTGTACTGGTAATCAACAATTACTAACCAAAGTGGAGGTGAGCAATGGTGGTTACTGACAGTGGGGTGAATAACTGTTTTAGTATATGTCACACAGAATCCTAAACAATCCATTTATTTCTGTTGACATACCTGTACCTAGAAATGGTCAGAAGTGAAATCATCCTTCTGCTGTTTTGTCTCTTGAGCTGCTTAGGGGTGAATAGTACTTTCTATGATTACTTTTAAATCAGACAATAGGTTGCAGGAAAAGCACTTTTCACCTGTGTGGTTTTTACTAATGGTTGATTAGCATCAGGCATTAAACTAATGTGTGTCAGGAAGACATCTCTCCCTGAAAAATTAATGAACCTCTTTTTTGTGTGATAGGTAAAAAGACATGTTTTTGGTTCCTTTTTTATTGAAATATGTGTTGAATCCAAAACATGCAGACAGCACCTATGTTAGTGACCCAGTGAAAGGTGTGTACAATAATAAAGCTAATTTAGGTTTTTTTCAAAAAGGGGTATTGATTACCATCGATGATTTCATTTAATGAAGCTTAATTTCTGTAGGGAGCATGTTATAAGAGCTACTGAAGTTAAATATCATAAATCCACAAACAGTTGCAAAATTTCATGATTTATTTCAATTTTTCTAAAGGAACCTTAGAATGACAGCAGAATGATAACAACTGAAAACAACTATTCACTTGACTCTGATTACTTCCACACAGGCTGTCAAAATGTCAATCACCACCACTGACAACAGTCCATCTCAGGACTACACTCATTCACTCACTCACTCACTCACTTGCACTACACTTTCACAGAAATGCAAGAAGTGATCATTTTGCATCATCTCAAAACCAGCTTCTTATTCATAAATAATGTAAAACTTGAAATAAACCTGGAAATGTTCATGCAAAATCATATAATTTCATAAGCTGAAGGGAACTTTACTTTGAAGTATTTTCTAGTTGTTAGAAGGACAATTACAAGTTATTTTTGGTTCTCTTTACATTTTAGCAGCTGCAGATAAAGATCAGAGGGGTGCTGCACAAGATAGTGAGGAACTACACTATGAGAAGTCTCATAGTAAAACATCTGCAATTCAAAGTAATGGTAATTAAATATTTCATGCTGATTAAAGCAAATTGTAAGGCAAATTGAGATGGCAACCAACTACAGGATTGATATGTGCCCACAGTCAGTGTACATGTATAATGGCTGAGATAGCCACTTTGAAAAGCATTAACACCAATAAAGAAGGACTGCAGATGTTTTACTACAGGATTGATATGTGCCCACAGTCAGTGTACATGTATAATGGCTGAGATAGCCACTTTGAAAAGCATTAACACCAATAAAGAAGGACTGCCTCTTTGTTCCATAAAAGCAAATGAATGCTTAAATTATAAACATAAATTGTCTTAAAAAATAACCCATGCAAAAAAAAGGAGAAAGAGATGAAAAGAAAAGGTATCCACTTTCCTAGTAGCTTTCTCTTTTTGCAATTCTTTTTTCATTTTTTTTTTTTTTTTTTCATGAGACCACGCAAAGAAAACTTATGTTTCATATAAATTCAAAATGGACATGGAGGTGTCAACCTCTGTAAGCCTTTTTCGGTGAGATAAGTTACTTATGTGGTAATTACATAGTTTTAAGATTACAGTGTTTTGATTTTTTCCAATGGTTAAACCAAAGGTTCCATAAAGAAGAAACCCGTATCTCCACAATTTGAAGAGGTCACTCTCTTTAATCGTGTGCTGTTGGCCAACAATCTCCAAGTACATTCATCAATCAAGGGTGATGGTAACTGCTTATTTCGGGCGGTAGAGGCTCAATTAAAAAAGTTGGGGATATTTACAAGCCACACATAAGAAAGTCTGCGTAAAGTAGCAGTGGAAGAACTAGGAGGGCGCCAGGTATTATTTTATTTTTAATGATATTAGATTTTTACAGCAAATAGCTTTTACAGTTGTAGAGTTTCAGTTGGGAACAAAGGCCAAGAAAAAATAGTCAATTCTCACAGGCTAAACATTACCTTTAAAGTGCTACCGAGACGAAAATTGATGTTCTTCAAAACAAATTTTTTGTGCCGACAATTTAAGTTTAGATCCCAAACACAAAGAAAAAATACAATTCAGACCTATTGCGGCAAGAAATTAAAAAAAAAATTTTGATTAAAACTCACTAAATTTCGGCCACCATTGCTCAAAATACAACTGCTGAGCTAACAATAATTTTCAGCATCTTTCCCCATTGTGACATCACTTTATTCCTTTCTTCAAAGCTCTGTTGAAGTAAATAGCAAATTCAGTGGAGATATTGCTCAAAAATCGTTGCTGTTCTTTATTTTAAACGACAGTAATGAACTTCTGTTTCTTCCAATGGGAGGTCTATGAATGATTGTTGTAGTGTTGAGGAGAAATATTGGATATATTGCGGTCCATGCGACGAAGAAGTAGAGCCATGTGCAACCGAGGAAGAGGCCGTCGCTTTTGAGGAAAACATTTAAACGTTGCTAGTGAAGAAATGAGGGAGCTAGAGCTTCAAAGGCGGCTTACTGGTGACGCAAAAGTTCATAATACGAATTTTAGCACATAATTATGTTCTTAGTTAAGCTTTTGAAGCAGGATGAAAATATCTCTTGAAAGACTACATTTACTGTTTTAAGGTGTCTTCGAGCAGTACTCCTCCTGCCAGTTTACCCTTGTTCTTATTTCACTGGAGGTTCAAATCTTTTTCCTTTGTCATGCAATGCCTTTAGGCCGTTATGCAACGCTTTTCCTAGCGAAACTGTGGTATACCATGGTTTCGAAGAAAATCAATAGCCTGTTTATTTCTATGAATTGTGTTTTACTTACTACATATTACTATGGACTCGTGTTTGTGCAGCTTTTGATCTTCAGAAAAAAATCAGAATGCTGATAAACTTTGACAAAGGACTACTTTTTGTTATTTTCAGGGAACAAAAGTATTTTTTCCACATGGTTACTGTGACACCCAGAAACTGTGAACTTCAGAAATACATGTACTTATGTATTGTCCTTGCAATTCGAGACAACTAAACAGCAGCAGTAGGGAGTTTGCTCACTCCTGAATTTTGTGTCAACTGAACTATTCACAACTGTCCTGTGAGAATCAAATCAAAGTGTTTGTAGCTTTCTCAGTTTCACCGTAATAAGTAATTAGGCAGTGTGGTCCTATAGTTTACATGGTTGCGTGGCCTGCTGCAAAATCTGCAGTTCACCACCTTCTCTAACCTCAAATTTGCCAGGTGGTCTGCCTTCTACAAATTATTTGTATTTGAATGTGCTCCCAAAAATTTAGATCAGAGGAAATGAATCTTAATAAAGATTGAATTAATTTTACTATAAGGTAATCATGTTTCTAAACATTTGGTGAAGCAGGACAATTCTAATATTACTATTTAGGGATTCATTTTTTATTTATATGAACACTTGTTTTTACACTGCATTGTGGGGTTACCAGTAATCAATGGATGCAGTGAGAAAAACTTCAGAAGGAATACTGTCAAGATCACCATTATAAACAAATCATAGTCTTCTTTAGCTTCTTGTTTCACAACGGAGTCCTTTGAATCCAGGCTGACAAGCACAAACAACTGTTCACTCAGTCAGTACAAGTACCACTGTTTACACAGGGTACATTGGAACACTCATTGATATCGTTAAAGCTTTTGAATAGCTTGCTCTTCTGAGCCCTTGTCAAGCATCAAGTGTAAAGCACCCAGTGCACTATTTTTTAAGCTCATTGGCCCCCTTTTTTAATATCTGCTGTTGATATGGTTATCAATTACAGAATATTTCAAGATAATGAATTGAGAAAACAAAAAAGGAGTCTGATCACACGTTGTACATTTGTTTTTACAGGGAAGCATTTATGTAAGTTGCTATGCATCTGCTGGATCTATGCACTTCGCAAAACTTCTTTATAATTTAATGCTACCCTGGCCTGTCATGACATTTCCTTTACATCCTAGTACTTTGGGTAGGCTACCCAAAGATGTGGCTGGCCTTGATTTTCCATCTTTGTTTCCCTTCAAGCTGCCAGTAGCAGGATTGATAGCCCATATTTAGCACAACAATTGAGAAATAGAGGATATTACATGGCCGCTTGGGGATAGGAATTTTATCTTGTGCTGAAAGTATCTCTCCCGAGTGAGCACAGCGAACGAGTGAGAGATACTTTCAGCATGAGAGGATAAAATTCGTATCCCCAAGCGGCCATGTAATGTTCTGTTTATTATATAGATACTGATGAAATTTCCACGTAGAAGACAACTTTTTTTATTCATTTTCGAAACAGCAATTGGGTAATTATGTTGGTAACCATGGCCACACCAATGTCCTCACACGTGAAAGATAAAAATATTATCTCCACTGCGCACGGTGAAGATATGATTTTTAAGTAAAAGGAGAAATCCTGGTATTTTATCAGTATCTATATAATAATAAGTAATTTACTAAAAAATTGTTTCTAGAACCAAGAATTAGAAAACAGAATAAGTAAATAAGTGTACATGTTCTAACTTTTCCTTTTTGAAATTATTAGTGTGGCCATGCTATGCATATCATGGAGGAACAAATTTGACCTGCCCCCAAAAATATAATTGGTCCTGATAATTTTTCAGATAATGAGAGCATTCTGTTTTTAACAAAATAGTACCTGGTGCTTTGCTGTTCATATACAGTGAAATTACTGACTACCTGTACCTTTACATGAAATTTCATAAACCTGCAGAGTACAGGTATGAGGTATTCTACATCTTCGGGGCAAATTGATTAACCACAGAATGGTAGCGCGCAAGAAAGTGTGTTTTCTCAACTGCGGAAGCCTTTTCCATGGCTTTTGTCAGGCCTGGTTAAGTTAGGAATGTAGACAATTTTTCATACTCCTACAACAATATAGAGCTATTGATATTCATGAATTGAAAGAAATTTTCAAAGGAAAGGTAAGACTTTATTCCAGCAGAACAAATTTGTTTGTGTACAAATCTTACAAGGCGGATTATGAGTCTGAGAGAATAAATAAATAAATAGATAGCAAAGAAAATCATATCAAATTTAACTCGCGGAAAGTTTAGTCATTGCATATACTCGAGGTCTAGAAAACGTGAGGTGAGAACGAACGGAACGATCACGATCTAACAACACTCTCCCTTTGGCGACTTCTCGGAGACATGGCTAGCTGAAAAGTGTTTTCCATATTCTAGGGATGGCACCCGGGGCAATCCTTTTTTCATGCCTAACCTACGTCGATACTCCTTTCGGCTGGAGGTTTGAGCGATGTAGGCGTACGAATGCCATCCATTAGCTTTCGTAACTATTTCGTCTGGCCTGTGTAGCGATATTTCAGCATTCATATTAAAGAATAATTACGCAATCCTGCTTAACACACTTTAGGGTACTAATTCCGGCCCTAATAACGACGATTAGACTCCAAGAACTATTCAAGTACAACAATCTCCGCCATTTCTTGGTTAAGAGCCTGCGCAAAAGTGAAGGGTTAATATTATGACGTCACAGACTAAAGCGCGACCATTTCGCAGTTTGAGCGGACGTTGAATCGAGGAAGACAAATCTAAAAAAAAAACAGACTTCCACTTCGAATTTTCATTCCAAATTTCGTGAGAGTGGTAAGCAGCCGGTAAGGATTCTAAAAATTGAAAAATCTGGCAAACGCTAAATTTGGTCTCAGTAGGACGTTAACAAACTATGTGCTGAATATTAGTGTATCATGCTTGGGAGATTTGTCGGCACAGCATTTATTGCCCTGCAGTACAGAAGGAGAAAATGTAATTTGAGCCCTGGCTGAGCCTATTGTTTTGTTCTCAAGCAGAAGGCCCTTTACTCTAACTATGCCACTTTCCACTGAGGAATATATTTTTAAACATATTCGTCAGTGGAATAGAAAACCCTTTTTAAGGGTTCAGGGTGCAATGTTTACTTGAGGTAATTTTAAGACCTCTGTATTTTTCTCTTTATTACTTACTATTGCATTATCTTTTCTTACATGTGAGGTGAAAAGTTGCTTTTTTTTTGTTATTGTTGTTATTGTTGTTTTATCTTTTTGGTGATACAATCCGATTTCAATGTTATAGCTGTAACCCTAAGCTAGGAAGCATCCTTCTTTTATTTGCCTGATATGTCAACTCACTGACAACCACCTTGCCGACACCATAAGTCTACTCGCTGACAAGCTGGTCAGTCTTTGCTGACATCGAAAGAAATCAGCTTCTATTTTATTGTAGTAACACAACTTCTACACAAGAAAGCGGAACAAATATGACTGATAGCTGACCACAAGCCGTTGAGAATCTAACAGAAACAGTACAGGCAACGCCATCCATTCTCTCTGGTAACACAATGCAAATCAGAAGGAAATTGCTACCCAGTTAATTAAATCCTGTTCAAAAGTGTATAGTCTGGCTCATGGCTAGTTGACCATTTTTTGTCAATTACACATTTGTTGGTTAAAGTAGTTTTGCAGACTTGTATTTTGGATTCACCGATGTCACACTTATTTTTACTGGTTCTGATTTTACTTCGTTTTTACAACCATAAACAAATCCAGAATAATGATAATTGGTGTTGGCGACTTTGTATTTAAAACTGTTATAAAAGACCGAGATTTTAATTTTGTCTTCAAAGGGGACATACAAAATTAGTGTAGGTGAGTTGGTTGTCGTCGAGTTGACCTGTTCAGTGGCGAAGGGACTGGTAACTCTTTATTCCTGTTAGATGTTACTGGACATTTATTGTTAATTGTCATTAAAAAGTGGATTTTTCTCTTTTGAAATTACAGAGCAATTTGAAGGGATTTTTCGAAAATGGAAATGTTGGAAACTACCTCCAAACGATGAGTAAAGACGGCGAGTGGGGAGGTGAACCTGAGATTGTAGCTTTGGCGTCTGTTCTGAAAATAAATATTAACGTTGTAACTCCGTCAGAAGATCTGGACCGCGCCATTCTCAGTTATGGTAATAGTAAAGATCCAACAATTCTGTTGGGTTTGTATAACGGCCATTACTGCAGCCTAGAGCCGATGTCCCGTGAAGAAAAAGGCAAGTTGCTGATTGGTGCGAAATACAGTGACGTATAGTTGTGAATGAGACTTGCCGATGCGAGGCCTTCCCCTCTTGAAAGATTTTTTGTTGTTCTCTTGTTATTTAGATGGTCCAGTACGCTTGAGCACCAATCTTTTGACAGATCGTGATATTGATTGCCTAAGATCCACCAAGTTCCAAGAAAATTCCCCATCCAAACCGTCTGAGGAGGTGCGTAACATTTAGAGGCGTGAGCCTCGTAGCCTCACATTACTATAGATAAAGCAAATACAAGCTAAGTTTTAGCATTGTTTTTACTTTTCTCTGAATTTTCCTTGTTGAATTTTCTTAGCTGTGAGTTCAATTTTTTTCCTATTTATTTATTCATCATTTGCTTTGAGTCACTAAAATTGTTTATGTGTGCTAAAGTATTACTTGATCATAAGCATGAAACAACAATTTTCTCTGCCATGGGTAATTCAGAATAGCTCAAATTTCTAGTTTTCAGACAATGACTACTTTTTAATTTATATGTTACGTAACTTTTAGGAACAACCACGTTATCAACAAGAATTGGACTCTGTGACGAGACGTTTCAGCGAGGTAAGAGAGCAAAGAGCAGCAGTACTGAGTTAAAAATTAATAGTTTTAAGAAAGTTCTTTGCGATCTGACCATCATTACCGAACTTGGCTAGGAGAAGGTCGGTAGACAAAGTGACTGAATGTCCGCTAAGTTAAAAATGTTTCCGCCGGCGAAAATTACGTAACTGAAGATTACAAGCAGACTGATCTTACACTCAGCTGCTGTAATGTTTAGTTTTGACAACCTGCCCATTTTAGTGTTATCTTATGTCAGCAGGTTGCCGCGCATTTACCGATCAGTTGAGTCATATTTACTGACTGCTTACCTTTCCATTCAAGAATACAACCTTCTCCTAGAAAACATTCTGAACGCAAACAATATTTCAAGTTTTAAAAGGAAAGTCCCCCTTCTTAAAAGGATCGAAACACATCTTTCACCGGTATATGAACTTATCTGAATATCGATAGATATATTTTTTGGGAACACATGTAAATATTTTTTGCCCCATTGTAATTTTTTATTGTATATTTGCTATCACTGTATATAACGACAGAATAGTCTCGTATGGGGGAGTGTATTGTGTTGTAATAATAATAAAGTGTTTTGTATTCTTCCTATTTATTTTAGGCGCGCGTGGATTTGAAGAATCTTGAAGCGGTATGATGACCACAAGTTGTTTTCTAAGTTTCTATGTGTCAGTTTTTTTGGCTACAAAGAAATAAGCACTTAATGGTGCGATTTACTATAGGCGTTTTTAAAAAGAAATAGCATATCAACATACAGCGCTGCAGATGTCGCGTAACAAGGATCAACAGTGTCGTAGAGAGCTTAAAAAGTTGCTCTCTAATCATGAAGTAGTTGAAGAAGATGGGTGTAGCATGAAGGTAAATAATGAAATACACGAATGTACTTTTAAAAGCTATGAAAAAATGATTAGTTATTTGCAGTTACATGGTTTTTATGGGGTGCCAAGCCATCAACTAATATATATGAGGTGTATTTTGGGATGTCAATCGTGTGCTTCAACCTGTGGTGCGAATTAACGATTAATACTCCAACGTTATCTTCTAGGAAAATGCAGGATTGCGCCATCACATCAAGACGGTGGAGATGTCCAATTACAAGGTTCAAAAGGGCCTGAGAGAGCTTGAAAAGCTGCTCGTTCGTCACAAAGTAGTTGAAGAAGATGGGTGTAGCGCGGAGGTAAGTAATAAATACACAAATGTACTCTAAAAGCTGTAAAAAAGTGATTAGTTAATTTGCAGGTACATGGTTTTCATGGAGTGCTTAAGTTATCAACAACTGAAATTCATAAAAAGGTAGATTTTGGGATGTCGATCGTGCGAATTACAGTGTGAACTAATGGTTTATTTTTTTAAAATTATCTTCTAGAAAAATGCAGTATTGCCTTCCGAAGTCAGGACGCTGCAGACGGTGCGTAGCAAGGTTCGAGAGTTAATTAGAGAATCTGAAAAGTTGTTCATTCATACAGTTGAAGACGATGAGGGTAGTATGGCGGTGAGTAATAAATACACAAATGTACCTTTCAGTATTAATTCATACGGTTGCTTGTGATATGCGCTAGTAACACGTTCGGCGAAATCAAGATAAGGCCTTTCAGCAGCGGGAACATAAACGACAAGGCCGGCTTTGTAACGGAGTTAATTTCTTTAGAGGAAAAAATATTTCTTCATCCAACGAAATACATTTGTTTGAAACCTAATGAAATTTACAAGTAACTTTCTCTACCGAATTTCTCCAAATTGGTGTACATTTTTGAGAAAAGAGACCTAGGGTTTGTAAGGGAATAAGGACACGACATGTTCTGTAGGTGATCGCTCGTTCAGAACGAAGTTAGGGATCAGGATTGAGACCTGTCTTTCGAAATTCAAAAACTAACCAGGAAAGCTTAACCGTGCTCTGAATTTTAAACTCATTTTAGAGATTTCGAGTCTTCTGAAGCTTTTGGGTAAATTTCAGGTAGCCTTACAGTTTAAATAAGAATTAGAAAATTAAACGAGACTTACCTGTAAGTTGAAGTTTCATCGAGATTCTACTGAGTTACATAATGCTGAGAGATTACATGAGATAGCAAGCGCATGCGCCAAACAGTTTCAGAAGGCTGAATGTGCGTGTAGTCCGATGTACCCGAAAGCTGTACTGCCGGGTGGGTGGGAGCATGGGCATTTAATCTCTCAGCATTATGTAACTAGGTAGAATCTCAATTAAACTTCAACTTACAGGTAAGTCTCGTTTAATTTTCTAATTCAACCTCGTTACCATGCTGAGAGGTCCCATGAGATTTTGAAGCTGACACGCACATGAAGAAAAAGCCACACATCCATAAAAACAAACAGGCTTTGTTACAGTGGCAATAAAGTTCATCGTAAGGATCTACTTAACGGATAACACAGCGTTTGCAAAGCTAGAAGTCGTAACTATCGGCTTGTTGTAGTATTTCGCAAAACAACATTCTGATGACCAACCAGCTGTCTTCAGGATGTCATCTAAATTAATAGAAGCTCTATGTGCAGCTGACACCAACGCTGCTCTAGTGCTATGTGGGGAAAACTTAGAAACATCTAAACCAGCCTGTACCATAACTTGGCGTACCCAACGAGTCAGGGTATCTCTACTCACTTCTTTAAAAGGTTTCACATAGCTGATGAAAAGCTCAGACTGGTTTCCCCTAAGAGACTTGGTTCTCTTTAGATACTCCTTACAGGTTGTAACAACACAAAGACTAGAGTCTTCTAAAGGGACTAGATTAAGCTGTGCTATGGCGGATCCAGGGGTGGTTCGGTTGAACCCCCTAAATTATCCCTCAGAACGCTGGAAATCATGTTTCCGAAGACCTAATTTTCAAAATCTTGGACCCCTCAGAAGGAGAACAATTTTTCGAACCCCCCTTGACTAAATCCTGGATCCGCCCCAGCTGTGGGTTGTGGTAACCAGGTCTACTTTGCCTCAAATGATTAACAGTAACAAAAGTAAAGCCATTATCTGAAACAATCATATCATTGAGATCCAGCATGTGGATAGTCTGACCCCGCTGGCCTGAGACCAGCAACAATAACATAAGGAATTTAAACGAAAGGTCCTTTAGACTTAACTAGTCCACTGGGTGCAAAGTCTTAAGATAAGATAACACAATCTGAACATCCCAAACTTCGGTATACTTTGGTTTTGGGGCCCTAGACTGGAAAACTCCTTTTAACAGTCTTGAAATCAATGGATTTTTACCTACACTAGACCCATCATCCGACAGAACAAAAGAAGACAGTGCACTGCGTGCTGTGTTAATGGCACTGTAGGTAAAGCCTTTCTCATACAGTTCTGTCAGGTAATCAAGTACATCTACAACAAGTGGAAGAAATTGATCAGCTTGCCTTTCAGCACAAAACTTGGTATATTTCTTGATGAACACATCGTACTGTTTTTTGGTGCCCTCTCTCCAGGAGGCCAAAAGCACTTTGGTTGCTGATTGATTGTGAAATTCCTTGTGTTTGATAGAACTCCCTGATAACAGCCATGCTACCATCCTTAACTTGGTCTTTAGGGGGTGTTCCATCCCGTTGTGAGGAAGTGTCAGTAAGTCCTTGTGCTGAGGTAGAATGACAAGAGTTGCTATGAGAAGGTTTAACAGTTGTGGCCACCAGGCTTGTGTTGGCCAAAAGGGCACTACAATGGGACCCAGTGCTCCGTCGCTCTCCAATTTTTTCAGGCATCTGATGATTAAGCAGAAGAGAGGAAGTAGATAAGCAAACATTCTGGTCATGCAAAGGAGAAAGTATCAACGTGAGTAGCCCCAGGATCAGGTTTCCAGGAGGCATACTTAGGCAATTGGGAGTTTAACCTGGAGGCAAAAAGATCATTGTCTAGTGTGCCCCAGATTTTTGAAATTTGTTGGAAAACATCCTCTCTAAGGTGCCACTCAGTTCGTTCATTAAAGTGAGGGAACTGCTGATCAGCCTCCACATCGAGAGCACCTGGCAAGTGGGAAGCAGATAGCCAAACCTTTTCCTGCATGCACCAAGTCCAAATGTCCTGAACAAGCTTATTGCAGGATGGAGACCTAGTACCACCCATGGCATTAAGATAACACACAGTTGTAGAGTTATCACTGTTAAGTTTGACATGCTTTCCCTTAAAGATGAAACTTGAAGCACCTCAATGCAAAGTGAACTGCCAATATCTCAAGTTTATTTATGTGCCTCAGTTGTTCTGATTCTGACCACAAACCTTGAGTTGTCTCCGGTGGGCAAACTGCCCCCCCCCCCAGCCTATTTTTGAAGCATCTGTAGTGACTTCTATGTCAGGACTTAATGGGTCAATCTGTTTGTATGCCTGTGGTAAGGTTCTCACCCACCAACTAAGATCTTCCCTAGATTCTGGAGATAGTTGCATCAGTGATTCAAAATTGCCCTTTTTCTTACGCAAGGCTTCATTTTTATCTATTTCAATGTTTCTGTAAAATAGAGGTCCATATTGAACTGCTGGTAGACTGGATACAAGCAACCCTATGGCTTGTGCCACTTCTCTAATGGAAACATAGCTCCTGCTTAGGAGCATCTTGCAGGCTGAAACAACTGTCTGTTTTTTCTCTGGTGTGAGATATACTCTCATGAGTGTGGAGTCCAAAATAAAACCAAGGAAAACAAGCTTTTGACATGGTTGCAACACCGATTTCTCTTTGCTGATAACAAAACCTAGGTTCTCAAACAGGCAATATGGTTGCCTGTATGTTTTGGCTGCAATCTGATGCTGAGCTACCTTGAAGGTAAGAATCTTCAATATATCCAACATTCAGATGGCCTTGACTACGCAAGATACCATACACTGGCTTAAGGAGCTTGGTAAAATATCTCGGTGTCAAGGACAAGCCATTGGGCAGGCAAGTGTACTGAAATAATTTGCTACACCACGTGAACCGCAAGTATTTTCTGTGCTCAGGTGCGACTGGCACTGTGTAATAAGCATCGGTCAAATCGATTGAGGCCATGTAACAATTTTTCCTCATTAATTGCACAGCGAGAGCTAAACTCTCTATTTTGAAATGCTTATATTCGATAAACTCATTTAATCTTTTTAAGATTAAAGATCATCCTGTAAGAGCCATCCTTCTTTTTCTTAGAAAGATACTCGAGGTAACTTGATGTTGGGAGGACTGAGCTTCCTCAATAACCTCTTTCTAAGGGTCTTAATTTCATCTTCAATAATTTTAGCTTCTCTTGTATTGAATCTAATAGGAGGTAAATTATAATGCTGATCCGGTAGCTCAATAAATTCCAGGTGACAGTGCTGCACCATGTAAAGGATCTTAGGGTCTGTTGTTATCGATTTCCATTCAGACAGAAAATATTTGAGCTTGCCAGCCACTTTGATACGGACATTATGTGTAGCACTCACCTCTGAATTTGGGTGTTGTGTGCTTTTGGCAATCAAGGCTGAGACTTCTGAACTTTCCTCTTCCCCTTCCCCTTGTATTGGGAGGGGCGAAGGTAGTTTTTTGCCCCAGAGTAGCTCCTTTTCCTCTGAAATTTGTCGGCGTTCAGATTGCCTACCCCTTCTATAACTCTCTTTCTTGTTTCGCTGGAGTTTCGATGTAATTCTGTTGCCCCGTGATATCCTTAACTGCTTTCGGCAAATCGTCCCCGAATAATTCTGAGAAAATTGGATTTGAAGGTGCACAAAGGTATCTATAGCTGGCATGGAGTTCCGGTCGAAGCGCTTCCCTTCGACGAACGTTTAGTTCCATGTTAGCATTGGCGAACAAAAGTACTCCATGCATGAGGTTGTTTACAACTTCGTTTTTTGAGGGCATCCCCTGAGCAGTGATTAAGTTCTTTACAACTGACACCACTGCTGTAGCTCCCTTAACAAGGGATTTTTGCACTTTCTGCTATTTTATGTCAGCTGAACGTGCCTTTTCTGAAAGGTTATTCCATATTGGCAGGTTAATTCGTGTTTCGGCTAATCCCTCACAATTTTTGGACGCCGGATAACGTTTCTTTATTTCCGTGAGTTTGTCTTCCTCACTTTTCTCCTTCAGTAATTTGGAGACGATTGCAGCTAAATTAGTGTTGATTTCCGCTCCTTTATGTTCTGCTGAGTCAAAGTCTTTTTCAAGTTGACCTAGGATGAGCTCATTCTCGGTGCTTTGACCTGCGTCATCGCTTTTTGGTCTCTTTGCTGCTGGTTCCTCAACTTGCGACACATCAGAGTCGGCGGAGCTGAGGTCGTCTGAAAAACGACTTCCTTGTGACACGTAAGCAGAGCGACTGCCTTGAAACAGTTGTCCCAAGTTGTCAAATCCTTCGCTCATACTCTGCGATAAGCTGGCGAAGGAATCTTTTAAAATTTCTGCAATGTTAGCAACCATTTGGGTCGTCGCTACGTCCTTTCTAGGAAGGGTAATAGTGGCCGATGTGCTTTGCCGCTCGCTGCCATCTTTTGGCGCGCTTTTCCTCCCTGGCGGTTTTTCACGCACATCTCTCCTGGGAGTGCCTATGGTTGTTTTTCCACCATCTCCCTTCTTTGAGGGTTCTATAGATTGACCAGCTTCTCTTATTTGGGAAGAAGAGGGATCTTTGGTCCCCTTAGGCTTTGGCTTTTTAGTCAAACGAGCAGAATCTCCAGCCACACGTGTTTGTGCCGAAACCGCGGTTTCTTTCTCTTTGCAGAGCTCAGCGGTCCAGTCAGCTAACCGGTCGTTCGGAGCTGTTTTAGAAGCTTCGGAGATATTCCGATCGTTCCCCTCATCCGGCTTCTCTGAATTCATGTTGTTTCGCGAAGAGTATTTACGGACAAACAGTCAGGTAAACTGCACTGTTTCGCACATGCCCTTGCTATCTCATGGGACCTCTCAGCATGGTAACGAGGTAGAATTAAAATCGGTTGTCTCACAATTTAGTGACATCGGATTTATGCGATATACACGCGTTTTGATTAGTTCTTATGATTTGTCGGAGAACAGACGTATCGATGACGTCACTACTAAGAACACTATGCTCTTATCATTTAAAACAAATGGATTCCAGTTTTCTGTGGGTATGTACAGTAATTGATCACAGAAGGGGCGAAATATTCTTAGTAGTGACGTCATCGATGCGTCTGCCAATATTTTCTTCGTACCGCATATTGACGTCATCTGTGATCTATTACTGAATAGACGCAAGGCAGAATGGAAGCTATTGGGATCGCGACGTTTCGACTGCGAGTCTTCTTTGCACCTTCGCGGGTATAAGTGGTATCGCCACCATTTCGACATAAAAAAAACTCGAGCATTTTGCACGGTAGTTGCCTGTTCCTTTTTCTTTCTAACCTGTACTTTGTATCCGGTAGCCGCCTTGAGATCATATTTCCCTACCCCTAACTTCGTTGTGTGTTAACTTTTCTTCTTAATTCTCTTCGACAGAAGCCGATAGCCTACGTAGTTCCAGTCGTTCGTCAGTGGGGTAAGATATCGTGGATAGGCTTCTGTATAAACATTGTAAAACTCCAGTCCTTATCCATGTATCTCACAGAAACTTCCTTGTCGCACAGACATTCTTAACACCTAAATGAAACAATTATCTTTTAAGCATTGTTAATATGTGAAATGTTTTTGGAGATGCACCAAGATAATGAGAAAAGAAATAAGTTGACGAACAGGGGTTGTGGAAAATACTTGAGTCAAACACGTTTCATTTTCTTTCTCTGAATCAATTTCGTTTCATATAAGTTCAGATAAATTTAGAAAGCATCTACGGAAATTTTGTGTGAAATTTGGTTGAAACCGTTATTGTATCCGCACTTGTTGGATATCAGACTCTTTACAGCCAATCTGGCGCTGCCCGTGGAATCATTTGGTTATAGTTCCGTGATCCTTTCTCAATGTCGCCAAGCCGCCGTTCTATCTCTGAAATTGAAAATGTGATGATTTCTAAACATAGTTCGCCAATCTGGGGGTTTCAAGTTTCCTGTTTCCAAGAAGATAAAAGTTAAGCACCCTGCATACCTAATCAGGATATCATATCAATTAGAAGATATTAACATCGCATGTTAATAAAATCTACAGATCCTGACAGTTCGAGTGAATGGGACTCTGCCTCCTCAGAGGCATCAGAATATCATAGTGCACAATAACAACATCGAATATCATTGCGCCTTTCATTCAAGAGAAAGAGCGCGGAAATTCCCTTTCTTTTGTGCCTGACTTGTCAAATGTTAGAATTGTTGTAGAGCGTTTCCAAGGCTCGATATTTCAAGCATTTTTAGGTTTACCTTTTGTTTTATTAAGTCTCGCCTTTTTGCCCCTACGTGCTATTTTGATGAATCTATAGTTTTGATCATTTATTTTTAGTGTGTGCTTGAACTTGGCTCAGCACTTACCGTGCTAGACATTTTAATCCCTTGTTATGGTTGAAGATAACTAGTTTGCTAGGTGGTCATGTTTGAGTTGGTAAAACTGACCTTGAGTTTTACCCACACTGAACATCCTGTTTTGGAAGTTCCCACGGTTAGCTAACCCAAACATGTCTGTGATTTTTGTATTTAATACTGGAGCACTCCTTGCTGAAAGTAGTAGAAATAAGCAGTGGAACAAGAGAGAGAATAAAGAAGAAAATTACAGAGTCTCAGTACCTCTTGTTAATTTGCCAAGCGAGTGGTAAAACCCCTCAACACTACC